AATTAAATTGCGTCTGTAATTGAATGAGCATTGGGATCAGTCAATGATGAATTTATCACATTCGTTGAAAGGATCCAGCATCTGGAAGCATTGAACAGCCACCATTGACTTCTAACGGAGTAGTAGATATTTTATTGACCTTGGTGGAATGGGCTGAGTCTCATCCCAACAAGGCTTTGATCTTGAAAACCCACGAGTGTAAGCCAGGAAACATAAGAGTGTTACTTGGCCGGATATATAATAGCCATCTCTGCATTATTGGATGCTGCCTCTCCCCAGATCTCTCGAAAGGTTATGAGCTCATTCGTGTTTAGTGCTCAAAAGTACACTGACTCTTCTCTTCTCTCTGGTGATCTACTAATCCTATTCATCCACTTTCATATTGCAAAATAACTTTTGTCCGCGTGGATACCCGCGGATAAACGTGGACAAATAAGAGCGATTTTCCCACTCCTTCCCATTGACCCCTCTAACTTGCAGAACGGCTGTGGCTAACCAGAGTTATTATGTAACTTCTGGGCACCACTTCCGAGTACTGCATAGCCGCAGGTAAACAAGGCTGCTTGACATTGATGTGCCGCAGCACCACAAATTACCACCTCCCCACCATCATCGCATCATTACCACTAGCACCATCGCCTTCGTTCTCGTCACCACCATTATCATCATCATCATCCATTGTCTATCCACTGCTCAATGAAGATCTCGATATGCCCTTGCCGTCTTTTGTTGCCAAAATCATCTCGTGCCCATACACGACCTCATCTCGTTGCTCCATATCCACGGCGGTTGACCTTCACCCGGCGCAGTGGTGCGCACGCTGCGCTATCGCACGTCCGTAGTACGAGGCTGTGCATGGTGCGGCATCGCTTTTTAGCTCGGTGAGACGCAGCATCGCAACAGCGCACTTAAACTGTATTAGAATCATCGTCATCAGGATCGCAATAGATCATAGTCTGTCCATCTGTATCATCAATCAGTCATAATCCATCATCAACAATTCATCTTCAACACCGTCATCATATTCAACATCGCAGCTACTGTTGTAATTGATCCACGATAGTATAGGAGGTTGTGAATAAATGTGGCTTTTGGGGGGGATTTTGCATCCTCCCCGAGGTATTTTAAACTGTATTAGAATCATCGTCATCAGGATCGCAATAGATCATAGTCTGTCCATCTGTATCATCAATCAGTCATAATCCATCAACAATTCATCTTCAACACCGTCATCATATTCAACATCGCAGCTACTGTTGTAATTGATCCACGATAGTATAGGAGGTTGTGAATAAATGTGGCTTTTGGGGGGGATTTTGCATCCTCCCCGAGGTATTTTCGGATCGTCTTCAGGAACTGCTGTCAACATTTTCAGCTAAAACGTTGAACATCATGCCGAGCAGTACGTGGTACAACCTGACAAACAGAGCTAAATGCAGCGCAACCGTAAAAACCTACGCAGTCGTTTTATATCGTAGAAATAGCTATGGGAAGAGGAGTCGCCTACGGCAGTGTTTGTGAGACGATGAGTTATTGCTCACACTTTTGGGTGACCCCTCTTTTCCGAGAAATCCTAATAAATGTACAGAGCTACGTCAATCCACTGCTCGACAAAGGCCTCCCCGAGGTCTGTCGGTCATGGCGGTTGTTTAGCTATGTTTCACCATGTTGACCAGTGTGGGTTGGTGAAAGGGGTGCTCAGAACCGGTTCAGACGTCACTCCACAGATGTTAGCCATGGCCCAGAATTGAAGTCGGGTTATCAAATTATTTGCCCCTTGCAACTTTTGTTGCTCCTATTATACAAACAGTCTCTCTGCAGATAATAGTTTATATTGATGGATAATGTTTGTTGATAATAGGAGTTTCAGATAAGTCACGGATATGAGCATACCGCTGCAACTGGACTTGACTATTGCATTGATATAGTTTTTTTTTATTGATATTCGGATGTACTATGTAGAGTGAGGGGAAAAAATATTTGATCCACTGCTGATTTTGTACGTTTGCCCACTGACATAGAAATGATCAGTCTATAATTTTAATGGTAGGTGTATTTGAACAGTGAGAGACAGAATAACAACAAAACAAATCCAGAAAAACGCATGTCAAAAATGTTATAAATTGATTGGCATTTTAACGAGGGAAATAAGTATTTGACCCCCTCTCAATCAGAAAGATTTCTGGCTCCCAGGTGCCTTTTATACAGGTAACGAGCTGAGATTAGGAGCACACTCTTAAAGAGAGTGATCCTAATCTCAGCTTGTTACCTGTATAAAAGACACCTGTCCACAGAAGCAATCAATCAATCACATTCCAAACTCTCCACCATGGCCAAGACCAAAGAGCTCTCCAAGGATGTCAGAGAAAAGATTGTCGACCTACACAAGGCTGGAATGGGCTACAAGACCATTGCCAAGCAGCTTGGTGAGAAGGTGACAACAGTTGGTGCGATTATTCGCAAATGGGAGAAACACAAAAGAACTGTCATACTCCCTCGGCCTGTGGCTCCATTCAAGATCTCACCTCGTGAAGTTGCAATGATTATGAGAACGGTGAGGAATCAGCCCAGAACTACACGGGAGGATCTTGTCAATGATCTCAAGGCAGCTGGGACCATAGTCACCAAGAAAACAATTGGTAACACACTACGCCGTGAAGGACTGAAATCCTGCAGCGCCCGCAAGGTCCCCCTGCTCAAGAAAGCACATATACATGCCCGTCTGAAGTTTGCCAATGAACATCTGAATGATTCAGAGGACAACTGGGTGAAAGTGTTGTGGTCAGATGAGACCAAAATGGAGCTCTTTGGCATCAACTCAACTCGCCGTGTTTGGAGGAGGAGGAATGCTGCCTATGACCCCAAGAACACCATCCCCACCGTCAAACATGGAGGTGGAAACATTATGCTTTGGGGGTGTTTTTCTGTTAAGGGAACAGGACAACTTCACCGCATCAAAGGGACGATGGACGGGGCCATGTACCGTCAAATCTTGGGTGAGAACCTCCTCTCAGCCAGGGCATTGAAAATGGGTCGTGGATGGGTATTCCAGCATAACAATGACTCAAAACACTGCCAAGGCAACAAAGGAGTGGCTCAAGAAGAAGCAAACCTGGTGGCCAACTACAAGAAACGTCTGACCTCTGTGATTGCCAACAAGGGTTTTGCCACCAAGTACTCAGTCATGTTTTGCAGAGGGGTCAAATACTTATTTCCCTCATTAAAATGCAAATCAATTTATAACATTTTTGACATGCGTTTTTCTGGATTTTGTTGTTATTCTGTCTCTCACTGTTCAAATAAACCTACCATTAAAATTATAGACTGATCATTTCTTTGTCAGTGGGCAAACGTACAAAATCAGCAGGGGATCAAATACTTTTTCCCTCACTCTATGTGCGTTGCCCTGGTAAGTCTTTTTGTGGATAAAGTCAAGCGAGCACTCTTATAGTTTTTTTTGTATTGTTTGTTGTTGTAGTTTTCTGATCCGCCCCTACTGGACATCTGTGAAAACGAGCTTCATAGCTCATCCAATTTCTCCAGGGTAAATACAGATTCTGATTCTGAGCATGTTAAACATAGTACACAAGCCCTTTAGAATGCTTACACAACTGTAACGTGCACGTAAAGAGGCGCAGATGGGCATTTATGGCTGTATCCCAGGAAAGCTGTTTTAGCAGAATGACAAGGTCTGTGTTTGGCACGGATGTACCTGGCTAGAAACCAAAATTGTGGGTTTATCTTGAGCAGTTTGAGCTCTGACAATTGTTCCAGCAGTAAGAGCATGCGCAGAAAGTGGGTCCCTGGCAATTCATCTTTTGCATAGAGATTCCCCAAGCTGTTGGTAGCAATGAAAACCGGTAATGCTTTTCACCATGTCCCAAAACTGATCCACTGAGCTTGTTGTGTTTTATTAATCCGGGGGTGACAGGATGCCACACGAAGTTTGGAGATGACATTTATAGGCTTTTTGTTTTATTTGTAGCGCACCATGTTTAACTGAACATAAACAGGTGATGCACGCTTTCAATCCAGACATGTATAAAAAATGTTGTTGGTGAATAATACAGGGCAGTCCTGAGTCACCTCTTCCAACAAGTTTCATGGGAGAAATACATAACCACTTGCTGAGCAATTAGATATGCCCAGAGGACAGTGCAGTAAGTAGGTTTCTTACATATCTGACGGGATTGAGTATTGGACTCCTGTTGTGTGTAAAAAAAATAGATAAGCAATAAATGTCTCCTCATATACATGTCTGTCCACATAATTAACAACCTATCGGCCACTGTTAACCCAGTTCATTATCCATTCCCCCTCCCCCCACATCCACCCTCTGTGTACACCCCCTTCTGAAAGTGCTGGACATGCGAAAATGCCCAATAAAAAATATATTTAAAAAACCTATCGGCCGCACAGCCTTCTGGGAGTGCATAATTTCAGCTACAGTAATTCAGAATAAGCAAGAATATTGACCAGTTTTGGCATAAAGTGTCTCTGGCAGAGTCAGGCTTGCTTGAACCAATGCTGGCGAACTTCCAGATGTTACAAGCAAGTACCCTTCCTTGAAGATATGGGTCCAAGTTCGACGCAAAATGATATAATACGTAATTCAGCATCGGCATCGTGAAGAGTACAATGTATCTTCTTTGGTTCTTTCGGTAAAGTCACGTAGAATGAGAATAAAATAATAAATTGATAAAATAAAATAACACAATAATATTCTCACGACGTTTCGGCCACAACACAAGCGGCCTTCATCAGGTGAAGGAGGCGAGACTGTCTGGTAGGACAATGTATATTGTGGAGACTATAAGTAACACAGGCTATATTCAGGAGACCTATTTGAATGCTTTCTTGTATTTGTGGGATTTCTCTGGGCACTGGTTCACAACTAACTGGCCTCTTCCCAGCTGGACCCCCATGAATGTCATTGATCCGAGGGTACAATATTTAAATTATTATACAACGTTAAATCTGGAGCTTGCGTGTGTTCACAGAGTGCTGTCTTCTGTGACTCTACGTCGCCCGGGCGCTAACGCCGCTCCGCTCATTTCCTCGATGGCGATGAACATGGCCGACAACCACATGGAGAGCTGGGAGGCGCTGGTGAACCAGGTGGAGAAGTACCGCCGCCAGACGGGCAACGAAGTGGCGCTGCTCACCGCCTACCAGCCGCGCACGCAGCCCGGCGTCCTGGCGTACGCCGTGCAGGGTGGCGGCACTCTCGTCGAGGCCACCCGCCGCTTCCTTGACGACATCGCTGTGTGCCACCGAGCCACCCTGCTCGTAGCGGCACGTAAGGTCCAGGGGGCGGCGGCGGCGGCGGCGGCGGCGCCAGCGCAGCCCGACAAGCAGGGGGCCAACACCGCCGCGGGCTCCGACAGAGACATTTACTCGCAGAGCTACCCCTCCATCTACGGCCGCGGCTCCTTCTCCGCCACGCCCAGGGGTGTGCGGGAGCCGGTGTCGCTTGTGCTGCACAAGGAGCGCAGCGGCGAGCCGGTGCCCAGCATAGACCACGCGGATGCTGGGCAGCCGGTGAAACGCAGCATACAGCAGCACCAGCAGCAGCAGCAGGAGGAGGACGACGATGAGGACGACGAGGAGGAGGACGAAGAGGAGAGGCGACGTGACAGCCGCGATGCCGGAGGTCAGTCTTGCCCAGTCGCCCGTTCTGGCCAATCCCACCGTATATTGTATGCTGTTGTTTTAAGCTATTTTAGCTTTATGTTGGTTGGATCACACGAAAGTTATGCGCGCAATCAACGACAACCTTCCTTGGGATTGGAGGTGGCCCAGGGGCAGGCCGAAGCATGGTTGAGGCCCGTTTCGGACATCGTGATCTCCGCGGCATATACTCGACATACTATCGGGCACGTAACAGGGTTGCCTGGCGATGTCTCGTGAGGAACGGTACATCCCGGGCTGGGTGGGGGGGCGCTGCCACTGATTGTGTTAAGCTGTAGCATTGCATGTAACTGTTGTACTCGGCCTGTGCAAGGATTGTGTTGCCTATTCGAGCTGTGGAAACAAATATAACATGGCAAAAAAACTTTACTTTAACTGTAATAGCTGCCTGTGTGATCGCTAATGTATTGTCTCCCTTGATGAACATCAATACAAATTCAAATTGTATGCTTTTTTTAGCTGCTTCCCCTGCTGTCATCTCATGCGGTGATATCACCTTCACGCCTTTCTCTTCTCTTTCTGGACCATTATTAGGAATCTTCTACAATGTCATTATAATCACAGCTTGTATAATCATAACAAATTGCGCTGGCATTCGGCTATGTTGGAACCACATTTATGGCTCCTCGTCTGTCTATCAAGGCTTTTCATACAGTGTGCTGGAATAAAACCGTTTTGTGCGTGATTGGCACTGTTAATACGCAGCATTGCAGCATCATTACGAGAGGCGGTATTGTCAACGACTCTTAAACGCAAGAGTGTCACCACGAGCAATTTTTGAGGATGTGCATGTCTTTTGGTGTCGTTCACATGCAACATGCAATGGCACCTGTTCATGCCGTAGGGTTTCGTGATTTGAGCCCCAAATCACTGGGATCATTGTGCTCGGATGCCAGGCGTCACGTGACACTGCAGATACACGGCTGCTATGTTGGTTGTCATTGCTTATTGCTGGGCTTTAAAGCAGAATTGGAATATTTAGATGTCTGTACACAGCCTGGCTGTTTATCGTCACATTATGGTGCAGTATCGTCAGCTCCTTACATTGTTAATCTGACCTTTGATGATGGTTAACCTCACAAATCTGCTGAACCCGACTACCTGCCTACACCTACAGACATGTCAGTATGTGATTAGAACGGTTCAGCAGGTAGGTAGCCATCCATCATGTAAAGCATGTGGTAGCCTATATCTTGACTTCAAGCTTTTGTGACTGCAGAAATTAATAATCTTTTGGTCGCAACACAAGCGGTCGTCTTCAGACGACTTCAGACGACCGCATGTGTTGCGATCAAAACGTCGTCGTTTTTTGTTTTTTTTGTTATTTTCTTTGAACCTATCTACGTGATTTTACCGAAAGACCCAAAGAACATGTGGTCGCCTATTGAGACAACGTGTCTGGTTCTAGTTACATGCATTGTTGTTGTAAGTGCACCGTGTTGGGATGTTCGTGCTGTAATATGATGCAACCCTAGTTGGTGCAAATTTCAATGACCCGATTGCCAGATCAGACTAAATAACCCCTAGCGCAGCCAGCAAGAACCATTCAGATGGCATTTTTGGGCGAATAGGAACTGGTTTGTGCGGTGCCTAACTGGTTTTCTTTGGTCAGGGATGGCACCGATCGGCTTTAAAGCAAAGGCAACAAATATGTAACCTGGTCAGCTCCATGACTCCACCATTATTGATGGCGCTGCAGAGAAAAAGGCCCTTGCCTGTGTTCAGCTCATTCATACAGGTGTCCTTTGACCAAATGGTGCCCCATTAATCATTATTTCACCTTTTCCAGACATCCGGAGTAAGTGTGGTTTTGTCGGGGATTCACTGTATGTACCGTGATTTTAATTGCTTGTATTTAATCACAGACACACACAGTGGACCACATTTGTCAATGATGCCACAAAGTATTGACACAATTTAAGCGTGTGTGTGTCTCGTGCAGAATATAAGTACAAAAATGAATATGCAGACAGATATATATTCATAATAAAGATATATGTCTCTTTACATAAAAACTAAAAGTTTTGTTTCCACAACCCATCGGCACCCACGGCCATTTGGGAGTGCATGGTATCGGCAGCGTTGATTCATCTCCTTGCCTACAAACATCTGGCGGTTCACTCGCATTGATGCAAGCAAGCCTGACTGCCGTTGTGACTACAAACCCGCCCAGAGTTTGTACTGAATCAGTGCTGCTGAAATGTGTTTAGATTTGATGACCCTATGTAGCCTCGATTGAAATTAATATTTAAAGGTTAAAAGTATTCACTCCCAGAAGGCCGTGGAGCTGATGAGTTGTTTAAGAAATATTTTTGCATCTTATGTGGAGAGACCGATGTGTGAAGGAGACATTGTCTGCTTATCTATTTGACCACAGTGTTAAACGGAGTTGCATAAACAGGAGACAGACATTGTATCGTCGTGCTGTTGTTCCTAAATGATTGTATTCATCGCCTCTTACACTCTCAGCTCGCGTACAGTGCACCTGATTTGCATTTTTACCAGTCGGTGGTAAAAATCAGTGCTGGGGCTGATGTTGAATTTGAGGCAATGATTAACACGAGTGACACATCCTTGGTCCACTACTCTTTTACGGGTTCATCAGAATGTGTCAGACAGCCCCAGCCGTGGCATCGCATGAGCACTGGTTTGGCCTCCGTGCCCTTTGGCACGGCAATTGTGTGCACACGTGACCCGCCCGACTGCATCCACCTGCACAAACACACGTCGAGAGCGCACGTGTGCGCGGACCAGCCCTCGCGTCATTCAAAGCTTGTTGACCGGCGAATCGCCGCTTGCTTGCAGGGGCTTGCCTGCACAGGCACTGATGTCCATGACAGTTGTTTACAGTCTTACCTGTAGAGAACAGCCTGATCCTCGGAAGGCCGGTGCAGTTTTGTTTAGCTGTTGAACCATCGTTCAGGTGAATTCAGGGGCTTAGCACGACTTGTTTACAGGAAGGGTCTGCTTTGAACGCTTGCGGTGATTTGACGCTGCTCGCCTTGCCGCGTCAACAGAACCCCGACGGCGTTCTCGAATAATCCCCCGCGTTTGTTGGAGGGCGAATGGCATGTGCCTATACCCCAGCTCTCGGCATGGGAGCTTGAACTCGAGACCCTTGAGCTTGCAGGCAAGCCCTGTGTGTCCAGACAGCTAATTACACTCGTGGGCAGCCTGATCCGTGAGGAATGTGGCGAATGCACAAATTGTGCAGTGTGGCATCGATGTTTTTTTGTTGTTGGAATCATTCATGACGTTGTTCAGTGAAACTTGAGGCTCGTGCTCTGTTGGGGCACCATTTTGAGATTTCCTGCCTGAGCATTTTCATCAAAATGACGTTAGAAAAATGTAGCATATCTTTAAACGATTGCAGATCCACGTTGTCTTTTATAATTACATTTGGGGAAACTGGTAGTGGATGCTTAATACAACACTGTGAAGGATTTGCCAGGAACACTGGGATACAAATGGCAATCAAATGCAGGGGGCTTGCACGTTTTTCTATTGTATTGTAGAGTAGTCATTTTTACAACTGGAATCAAAATGGTTCGAGTTAGCTATCACATTTTACAGCAACAGATGTTATATTGCTTTGCACCTTTGAAAAAAATACCATCACACAGGTTGAAAGTCTCTAAATTACCTTACAGTGAATTAAAATAAGTATGGGATGGGTTTGGTGAGTCACAGATAGAACATATAATTATTTATAGTCCGTTTTCTCAAAAAACTTTGCTTAAACAAAGCAATGTAGCCTGCTTTCGAGCCGTGACGAGTCGTCTGCGAAGAGGAGTAATCGATTTTATTTTTTCGTGGTCGATTACTTGGGTGTCCCTTTAAAAATGGTTTCCACACACCCACATCCAGCCTCCTGAAGACAGGAAACCCCGACAATCCACTCCCACCGAGCCCTGCCCATCACCTCCAGCACGTGTCAGTTCCAGACTGTGTTTTTAAGTGACTTTCTCTCAGCAGGTTATGATGGCACTGTTAAACGAATCACAGTTGACACTCCTAGAGCTCGGGGCAAGGGCCATCCTCGAACAATAGGTGGGTCAAAAGTCAAACTAAACCAACGATCATCAGTGCAGTGGGCGGTGCTCATTCCCACCTGTAGTCTTTAGCTAGTGGTAGTCCTCTCCACTTGACGAACAACATAAGGCACCAAAAATAGTCGCAGCAGTTTATGGGGAATTTGAAATAGGCCAGTTGGTGGCCATGTGGCCATAATATACGACAGAATGCCGGACTGGAACTTTCGCACAGCACTAACCATGTATACCGGCCCCATTTCAGAACGTTTTAACACAAATCTACAACTGGTGTCTTGAGGGGAAACAGCAGTGAGTGTGGGCGAAAGAGGTTTCATACAGGGGCTTCCAAATGTCCATTTCGACCACTGCAAATCGGCATGTTTCTACAAAATGTCACTCGACAATGTTAAATAATAATAGTAAAACACTTAAAGCTATCTCATAACGGCCTCGCATCGAATTTACTTTGTAAATGCGCGAAAATTAACTTGTGGTTCACTCCTGCGTAGGTCGCTTTGGCGGTGCAAGTAACGGAAATGATCGCGTGGCTACGAGCAGCAGCCAGTCATAACACTGGCCCATGCGTGAAGCTCGTCAAAATTTCACTTTTTTCTGCTTCCGTAAAAAAAATACAGCCCCCTTGCTGCGGGCACCGTGGGTTTGTTATGCTGCAGTGTGATGCACATGTGTGCTGCATTGGCGTCGCACATTCCTGTGGCATCCCAAATGTCAATCCCTATGTGCAGAAACCGTATTTAGCCAAAGCGTTACGCTTAAAGCAACGCCTCTGGGCCAGGTTCTACCACTCTGTGATGATGCCTGGGAAAGAAAAAAAAAACCTGCTAGGAATCTCTAGGTGCTTCGGGAGGGGGTAGACTTTCAGTTGTCATAGTGATGAAATGTATGTCCTTGCGATATTTGTGGTGTC